AGCACTCTTCTCTTGGCTTTTATGATTTGGATTTGAACTGAAGTCAACCCCTACCAAGCCCCCCTGTAATGCTGGCATCTCCATGCTAAAATTCAGCAAGGAAGAGGGAGAGAATTTGGGCTACCTTTGACACAGGAAGGGTACCCTAATGCTGCGGGGGGGGAGGATTGAATTGTGATGTAAGAAGAAATCAACAAACTCCCCCCCCCCATTGTCATCCCAAATAAATTATTAGCCTTGGAAAAGCCAAAAGACCAAGATGCTAGTAATAAAAAACTGCCTGAAACCCATTCCACATTCCAGCTAGACACCTAAAGGAAACATTGAGCCGTGGTGGTGCAGTGGTTAGAGTGCAGTGCTGCAGGCTACTTCTTGCTGACTGATGGCTGCCTGCAATTTGGCAGTTCAAATCTCACCAGGCTCAGGGTTGACTCAGCCTTCCATACTTCCAAGGTGCGTAAAATGAGGACCCAGATTGTTGGGGGCAATAGGCTGACTCTGTAAACCGCTTAGACAGTGCTGTAAAGCAATGTAAAGTGATATATAAGTCTAAGTGCTATTGCTATTGTAACAAGAAGCTAACTGCAGATGCCAACATAGCACTGAGATAATGAACTTATTGAAAGAGGAAGCCAACTATCTAGATGAGGGGTGTCAAACTCAATTTCATTGAGGGCCGCATCAGGGTTGTGTTTGATCTCGGGGTGTGTGTATGTGTGCAATGGCCAGGGTGGGCATGGCCAGCTTGACGTCACTAATCAAGGCTCCATTTTTGGCCGTGACAGCCTTCTGCAGCCCTCTGCCAGTGAAAATGGAGTTCGGGGAGACCACATGCGGCCCGCCTGGGCTTTGTTTCACTAGCAGACGGCTGCAGGAGACTGTTGTGGCTGAAAATGGAGCCCGGGCAGGCTATACATGGCCCTCCCAAGCTGTTTTTGCTGACAGTGGGTCAGTCCTTCCAGCACAGGCCTATGGGCCAGATCTAAACACCCTGTGGGTCGGATCCGTCCCCTGGGCCTTGAGTTTGACACCCCTGATCCAGATGGCCCCATTCATAACTAAAACAAATACTGTGGGCAGAAATCCATTCAAGATGGGATATTTTGAAGCCCCTTACANCTCTCCCAACGGGGAGCTTACCTAACAGCGATAGCTTCCCGCAAACAGCTCTCCCAAGCTCCTTTTTTCCTTGGAGAGGTACTGTGGGCTGGTCCTTTGCTGTTTCCAGGATGACCTCATGGGCCAGATCTAAGCACCCTATGAGCTGGATCTGGGCCCCAGGCCTTGAGTTTGATACCCCGTATCTATGTTGTCACCAGGAGTTGAAAATGACTTGATGGTACATGGTCAATGAAAGAAAATATTCTAGGTGTGATCAGTTGAATGTCGTTATATTTTCTGTTTGATTCTCCCCATCAACAATAGGTCAGTGATGGAAGGCATCTCTTTGCAAATATGCTAAATAACCTACTGTCACACTGCTAACTGAACAGTTGCCTTCAGGAGAAATGTCATGCCCAGAGTTGTGGCCCACCAGCGGCCAGTGGAGCTGGCAGAAGATTCGGACAGTGAGGAGGTTGGGGAGAAACATGGGCCAGTCCTGGAGTCTGGGGAAGGCTCTGATGAGGGCTCTGGGTCGGAGGCAGAGAGGGGGCCAGGGGTGTATGCCAGTTATCAACTGCCTTCAGAGTCAGACATCAGTGAGGCAGATGAACAGCTGGAGCCTGTTCCCATGCACATGCATAGAGTTCCCAGACGAAGAGAACAGCTAAAGAACAGGGGTTGACTTGGGAGTAAGGCCACAGCTGGATGATGAATGGCTCCTCCCAGAGGAAATAAAAGAGGAGCAAAAGGGGAGTGGAGTTTGCAGGAGACAATTACTTTGCTTAATTGGTTCATGACTCTCTGAGACTCCTTGCAAAGTTTTGCAGATATCGGCCTGGCAGCTCTCCCAGCCAGATAAGGTCTGTGACTGTAAATCCTCCCTTGAAAGACTTTTTCTGATGTGAATGAGCAGAATTCACAGTAAATTAATAAAAGGGGCTTTTGTCGGGACAAGGAGTTTGCTTCATGTTCTTGGGAAGCCTCGGTCAGAACATCCTTGGAGTCAGACTCAGCTGCCGTTGAGGTTGCTTCTGGCACTCCCTTGCCCCTCAGCCCATCTTGACTATTCCTTTTTGGATCTCTGCACTTTGCCGAGCAAACCATCAGATGCTGAATTGACCAGCAAACCTTAAGAAAGATGGGCAACTCCTGGGCATGTTTAGCAGGGAGGGAATCTTAAATCTCACAGTAACATTTTTCCCTTGGAAGCAAGTGGCTTCTCATTATATGACTCTTGCCTGCAATCCAGTTATTTAGGAACTCAGCTTTTTAATTGACTAACACTTTGTCTGTCCCTTGAGTTGGCATCATAAATCTTCAACCTGATCTTGGATTGTTTTACCTGGATTTTGCCTTCTTCCAGCTAAGTTCTTATCTGTAAATGATTCCTGTTTTCCTGCTTCTGCCTTTTTCTCTGTTATCTCTGTTATCTAACTGTAATGTTGGGAATTGTAGCAAGTCCTCCCTTTATCACTGTGTGTGCCTATGAACTGAGCCTGGCTCCTGAAGGGATGCTAATCTAGCCAAGACCCAAAATAGCAATAGCAGTTAGACTTATATATCGCTTCACAGGGCTTTCAGCCCTCTCTAAGNCCCAAAGACCACCAATCACAGAGTTTGTTGTAACCCGTCTGCATGAAAACCTCGGGCGCGATGTAGTCCGGAGTCCCGACGGTTGAATAGGCCTGAAAAAAATGATATTTCGGAGATCACCTTTTAAAAACCAATCCAGGTTTTTATGCCTTTCCAACAAAAAGAAAAAAGCAGAACAGAGTCTTCCGTCTATGGCAGGGGTCTCTCCAAGCTTGGCAACTTTACGACTTGCGGACTTCAACTCCCAGAATTCCTCAGCCAGCTAATTCTGGGAGTTAAAGTCCAGAAGTCATAAAGTTGTCAAGCTTGGAGACCCTCCCTCTCCCCCCCACCCCGCCCCCCAATCTATGGTCTAGTTTGGTTTTTATGGATTTTCTGAAAAAAGGCATTGTTGTAGCCTTCTTCGCTTCTGGTTTCTGGCCAAGAGAAAAATAAATAACAGGCACTGGAGGGAATTGATCCCATAGTCCTCTTCTACTCCTCAAACCCTCCTCCCTTCTAGTACTGATGATGCTACTTAGCTGGGTCATAAAATGTCTGCAAGTAAGCAACCAATGCATAGTTTAAATCTCTGAACAACCCCACTCCCCTTTCTCTTCTAGCACTGGTGATGTTACTTAGTTGGTTCATGAAATGTCTGCAAGAAAACAACTAAACTCAGAGAAGACCAAGAACTTCACTGTCCTCCTCCTGACTTCCAGCACTGATGATGTTACTTAGTTGGGTCATAAAATATCTTCAAGCATACAACCAAACTCAGAGAATGCCAAGGAGCCCACAGTTCTCCTTCTCCTCTTCTCCTCCTCCTCTTCCTCCTCCTCCACCTTTACTCCTCCTTCTCTTCCTCTTTCTCCTCCTCCTCTCCACAAACCCCACTCACTTCTAGCACTGATGTTGTTACCGAGTTGGGTCATAAAATATCTGCAAGTATATAACCAAACTCAGAGAATGCCAAGGACCCAACAGTTCTCCTCCTCATCTCCTCCTCCTCCTTCACCACCACCTTTCCTCCTCCTTTTCCTCCTCTTCCTCCTCCTCCTCCTCTCCACAAACCCTACTTCCTTCTAGCACTGATGTTGTTACCTAGTTGGGTCATAAAATATCTGCAAGTATACAACCACTCAGAGAATGCCAAGGACCCCACAATTCTCCTCCTCCTCTCTTCCTCCTCCTCCTCCTCTTCCTCCACCTTTCCTCTTCCTTCTCCTCCTCCTCCTCTCTACAAACCCCACTCACTTCTAGATTGATGATGTTACCTAGTTGGGTCATGAAATGTCTGCAAGTATACAACCACTCAGAGAATGCCAAGGACCCCACAATTCTCCTCCTCCTCTCTTCCTCCTCCTCCTCCTCTTCCTCCACCTTTCCTCTTCCTTCTCCTCCTCCTCCTCTCTACAAACCCCACTCACTTCTAGATTGATGATGTTACCTAGTTGGGTCATAAAATATCTGCAAGTATACAACCACTCAGAGAATGCCAAGGACCCCACAATTCTCCTCCTCCTCTCTTCCTCCTCCTCCTCCTCTTCCTCCACCTTTCCTCTTCCTTCTCCTCCTCCTCCTCTCTACAAACCCCACTCACTTCTAGATTGATGATGTTACCTAGTTGGGTCATAAAATATCTGCAAGTATACAACCACTCAGAGAATGCCAAGGACCCCACAATTCTCCTCCTCCTCTCTTCCTCCTCCTCCTCCTCTTCCTCCACCTTTCCTCTTCCTTCTCCTCCTCCTCCTCTCTACAAACCCCACTCACTTCTAGATTGATGATGTTACCTAGTTGGGTCATGAAATGTCCGCAAGAAAGCAACCAAGCTCAGAGAGCACCAAGGATCCCACAGTTCTTCTCC